TTCTAGCGCCACAGGAGGCTTCTTCACCTGTCTCTTGCTCCTTTATTTTCTCTCTCTACCTACCTTCCTCCCTTCTTTTTCCCTCTCTCCCTTTCTCCTCTTTGTCTTCTTGTTTCAGTTCCCCAATTGTTGAAATTATAGGAGTGTGCCACCACGCCCAGCTTTTTGTTTGTTTGGTTTTGCTTTTTCAGTACTGGGGATGGAACCCAGAGCTTCTGGCAAGCTAAGCAAGTGCTTTATCACTAAACTGCATTCCTGGGCCCCTGGTTTTGATTTAGTAGGATTTTTTTAATGTATACTAACTTTATATGGTAATAGGTTTCATGAAGACACTTGCATACAAGTGTGTCATGTACTTTTAACTTTTCTGCTCCCCTCCTTCTGCCTCTGTTCCCGTTTTCCTCTCTGGACAGTTTCTTTTCCACTTTTGTGTCTTTTATTTACTAAATTATTATTATTATTATTATCCAGATGGTCTCATACTGTAGCCCAGTCTAGCCGTCATTATGCTGCCAAGAGTGGCCTTGAACATGGTGATCCTTTCTCAGTCTCTCTCCAAAGTCTTGGTATTACAGTCTTAAGCCCTGAGTTCCTGTGCTGAACCCCACTGCCTGATTCTAATTATCCTCTTCCTTAACCCCAGTTCTTGGCAACGGGATCTGGTTTCTGTTGTTGGAGTTTTTCCTTCTTCAGAATGTCATGTAGGTAGCATTGGGCAGAATGTAGCCTTTTGGGCTTGGCCCCTTTCATCCACCATTCAGGATTCATTCACACTGTGACATTTCTCAGTTGTTTGTCTTAGCTATTGCCAAGCACCATTTATTGTATGACCAGACCACCATTTGCTTATATATTCTGTAAAGGAGGATACTAGCTCTTGCCGGTTATGAGTAAGGCCAATAAAAATATCCATGGCAGATTTTTGTGTGCATATAAGTTTGTATTACCTTGGGCAAATCCCTGGAAGTCAGATTTATTGAACTGTGTGTTAAATGTATGTTTGACTTTATAAGAAACTTCCAGAGTGTTTCCCATGACATTTCAGAGCTCAAAGCCAAGGATGACAGTTCTTGCTCGTCCTTATATTGTCTGGAGTGCTTGATAGGATCAGATTTTGTTCCGTAGAGTTGAATGTGTATGTGCCCTACTGTCTCTCTGGGCATCACATGTGAGCAGGAGCCCATGGATGTCAGAAGTCAGCCCTTAGAACTGAGTTACTGTGAGTGTCCCTGCAGGTGTTGGGGACTAAACCTGGGTCTTCTGCTAGAGCAGTAAGTGCTCTTAACTGTCAAGGTACCTCTCTAGCTCCAATTTTGGTTGTTCTAAAAGTTACATAGTAGTGTCTCATTATGGTCTGCATTTGCATGTTTGAATACTAACAATGTTGGCTAAGTCCTAATTTGCTATTTACAAACCACAATCTTCTTTGGTGAAGTATCTGTTCAAGCATTTTGTCTATTTGTCTTCTTTGTTTCTTTTTCTTCAGACAGTTTGGCTACATAAAGGCCAGGTTGGTTTTGTTCTCACGAGCTTCCTGTCTTAGTCTCCTGAATGCTAGGACTATAGGGCTATGTCTATGCCCATATTCGTTGAGTTGTTTGTTTTCTTACTTTACAGTTTTCAAACACCCCCTCCCACACACACACACAATTACTCATAATGGGAAGAGAAGCTGTACCCTCAAACAAGAGTAACTATCACAGGGGATCCAGATTGCTCTCCTCAAATGATGACACTGATAACAGCTTGTCCTGAACCCCTTGGAGAGTGCAATAGTGACCAGTAAGACCACCAGCCTGACCGAAACTATCTCTCATTTATCTCACCTATAAAATCTTACATTTCCTGTCAGCCCTTTAAAGATAGAGTAGGGAGCCACTGAGTCTTTTAATCTGGTCTTCTCAATGTAGCCGTGTTTATGTTCCTTTCTCCGCTCCTCACCAACACACATCTCTTTGAGATGCTGGGACAAGTGTCCATGCCTATGGCCTTGAGGTCCCTGAATTTTGGGTGAAGCTTTTAATACACTAATGTGGGACAATATGAGATGCTAAACAAACAATCACAGAATAAAACACAACGAACGGAATAATTTTCCACAAGTCCATGCTGATATAAATATTTGATAAAATAATTAATGGAAAAAGGAAACATTTTCATAAAATTTCCATTGATTAAATATAGAAGGGGCTGAGGTATGGCGATGCATGCTTGTAATCCAAGCACCCGGGTGGTAGCGACTAAAGGATTTTCACAAGTTTGAAACCAGCCTTCTTTAGATAGTGAGGACTAGGCAAGCCAGAGCAACACTGGAAGACCCATATCAGAAACATTTTCTGTAAGTTTTTAAGATTTATTTTTATGTTTATATGTTTTTGTGTGGATGCATGCCACATGTGTTCAGATGCCTGAGGAGGCCAGAGGAGGAATAGGGTTGGAGTTCCAGTTGGTTCTGAGCTGCCTGACATGGTTTCTGGTACAGCAGTATACACTCTCAACCACAGAGCCATTTCTCCAGCCCAGGAGAACACATTTTAAATGGTCATACAAAGGAGGGCAGAGGAAACCGAGTAGGGAAGATAAAGCCCGTACCTGACCTATCTTATAAACCCTGTTTTGTAGATCTAATTTTGGAGTACTGCAATTACTTTCACACCTCTAAAAAATATACAAACTGGTTTCCTGACAGCAAAGCCCAAAACATAAAATAAAATAAAATTCAGTTAGAGTAAGTTAGTGGTAAGATCACAGACAGAAGAAATTATTCAAATAACTTTAAAGCAGGGAAGTTTGAGTATATATTCTTTCTGCCATCTACCCTATAGAAGGGAAAAGAAGCCAAAAAAATTCAACTCTGTCCCATGGGTCAGAGCTGGGTCATCTAACAACTCTTTATATCAAGGAACCATAGAAAAGCGTTCACTTTGCGTTCTCTGTGATGTCAAGCAGCAAAGGGTTAGAACAATTGCAGATCCAGCTTCTGCTGTCTACTAGGACCAGCTTGCCTTCTTTCTGCTCCCTTTGGATTGGGCTAGGAAAGCTCTTTTCCCACTGTCACTTAACATAGTGGTGACAGCAGTGCCACCTTCCTGAAGTTGAACAGCAAATCTGGAACCGTTTCTACTCGATGAGCCAGAGAAGAGAACTCCCAAGTGTATTATTGATGGTTAGTAAGCTGTCCTTTCCAGGTTAACAGTGGAGCATTGCTCCCATCACTTAGGCTTAGAGACTTGCATTTCCTAACAAGGCTTGTGATTCTGAAAGAAAGAGTCATGGAAACCTGAAGTCTTGGAGGCTGCATGATGCTGTGAGAACTCAGGCTTCATTGCAGAAATACATATGCATGTTATACATCCAGAGATGTCTGAAAGCCATTTTAGAACTATGACAGGCCAATTGTTTCAGACATCCTACAGCAAATGGGAAAAATTGTGGAATATATGTTACAGCATATTGGGTAGCTGGTTAACACGACGTTGTTTTCTAGGAAATGGTTCCATAGAGAAAGCATCCATCAGTGTGTCTCTGGCTTTGTTCTTTTCCCTTGACTTCACAGGCATATCCAGTAACTGGTCCAAACAGGCAACAAGCGCCGTGAATGTGAGGAGAGGTTTGGGGTAGCTTCAGAAGCACGGTCTTATTTGCTATTTCCAGAAGTCCGTGAACTGTTTCAATCACTGCTCATGGTGCCACTGCACAGATGAGCGATCAGAGGCATGAGGCAAATTTGGACTGGAAGCACCTGTCCTTTTTAGTGTCTTTTGTACTCTAACCCCCCCCCCCCCGGTTCCCTCTTTGGATTTAGTGTACCTGAGCACCCTCACATGAGTGGCCAGGGGGCATAGGCGGCACCATGTAGAAAGACAGGCAGCAATGCTGAAGGTAAAAGGGACATTTTTACCTAATGCTTGGGCGGGAATTTCTTTTTTCTTTTTATTTATTTTTATATTTTATTTTATTTTTTGGGGGGGGGATTTCTTAAGTGAACAAAATTAAAATCTTCCCAAGACATCTGCTGTCACTGCCAGGGGCTCCAGGTGACTAAGGACATTGATTCTATTCTGCAATGCAGGTCGATGGCAAAGAGCCAGGCTGCCAATGTTGTTAAAGCAGCTAGGACATCACTGACTTTTTGGGTGACATCAAGGAAAGCACTTCACCTGCCTGGGTCTGAGAGTGGATAATTTCTAAAGCTCACACAATTCCTTGCTTGGGTTTGCAGTACAGATGGGAAAACCCTAAAGCGGGGGTCTGATAAGACGCCAGCTATTTAGGGTGTAGATTCCTGCCTTGGACTTATAGGTCTCACCTGTCAAGTTTTATGGCTGATAGGTTTTTCAGCTCCCATCAATGAAAGGAAAGGGCTCAAAAGCTGAATTAATGAAGATAGTAGCCTCGATAGGAATTCTAAATGATGCGCTTAGCTCTTTCTCTGTTGGCCCTTTTAAAAGTCGCATGTGAGTACCTGTGTGTGTGTGCGCGCGCGCGCTCGCACCCGCGCGCCCGCTCGCGTACCTGAGAAATGAAGAAACTTGGTGTAGGTAGGAGAGCCAATAAGCTGTTAGACACAGTAGCCTGATAACAGCGATCCTTAATTGGACACACAGAAGAAACACTTTGGGCCTTAGGGGACTTTATGCAGTGCTAGGGATTAAACCTAGCGTTTTGCACATGCAACGGAATCTTTGAGCTCTATTCGCAGACCTCTTTTTACTTTTTCCAGATAAGGGCTCCTCTAAGTTGCTCCCTAAGTTGCCCAGTCTGGCCTTGAACTTGCGTTCATGCTGCCTCAGCCTCCCTCTCTGGCTGGGATTACATGCCTGCGCCACCAGGCCCAGTTAGGGTTTTTTTTTTTTTTTGAAAAAAAAAATCTTGGTAAAGTAAACGGACCTGGCAGCTTACGTCACAACCAGCTGAAGGCGCGACGCGCTGGTTGCTATGGAGGCAGTCCTAGTGACCCCGCCTCCGGCTCTTGTGTGGCTATCCACTCCGCAGTGACCATCAGCTAGGCAGGCAGCAGCAGCCAGCTCTCAACCACAGGAAAGCTGCCCGCGGAGTGGGAGGTCTTCCCATTATCGTGAGCCTGGGGTCTGGTAGGCTCTGGGGCCCATGAGAACAGAGCGCCACCCTTCATTTGCTGGGGATTCACTGCTCTAAAGCGCAGTCAACTGCAGGACAGAAGCGGACTGAAATCGGACCGCTGCACAGGGCCACCTGTCTACCGATCGGCCGCTGAGAGAGGCAGCTTGACCTGACGCGCCGCTTGGAGGATCGGAGGGAGTCGAGCTCCGGACCACCACTGCCACCTCGGCAGCCGCGAGCCAACAGCCGCCATCGCCTTGGGCCTCCCCACCCGTCACCACCATGGCTGAGAACGAGTCTGCCTCCACGCCTTACACCGAAGATGATTTCTACTGTCCTATCTGTCAAGAAGTCTTCAAGACACCGGTTCGGGTCACCGCTTGTCAGCACGTCTTCTGCAGGAAATGTTTCCTGACTGCAATGAAGGAGAGCCGGCACCATTGCCCCCTGTGCCGTGGAAGTGTGACTAGAAGAGAAAGAGCGTGCCCAGAGAGGGCCCTGGACCTTGAGACAATCATGAGAAGTTTTCCTGGTAATTGCCGGAGCTGTTCTGAACGCATTGAACTCTATCGCATGAGACAGCATTACAAAACTTGCGAAAAGTACCAAGATGAGTTCGGGACTTCTTCAACTGTTGCAAGCTTTCAAGTGTCTCCTGAGCCCGTGGGCAACAGCAACGGTGAGGCGTCCACTTCAGAAAATGCCGAGGCTTATCAAGAAGAAGAAAACGTAAGCCCACCTGATCAGCCTACCTTTCATTGTCCTCTGTGTGAAGAAGTAAACATGACCAGACAGAGTTTGCTGGATCACTGCAACAGCCGCCACAGAGCTCATATTGTTCCCGTCATTTGCCCGATTTGCCTCTCTCTTCCATGGGGCAACCCTACTCAACTTACCAGAAATTTCGTCAGTCATCTAAACCAGAGGCATCAGTTTGATTATGGAGATTTCGTGAATCTTCAACTGGATGAGGAAACTCAGTTCCAGATTGCTATTGAGGAGTCTTTCAACGTCTAGAGAGACTCTCTTCTACAATTGCTCCTAAGGGACAATTTACATGAAATCATCCTTTCAATAACTTGATGTGATTTAAATAAAAGTAATCAGTCTGACCTATTTTAGTATTTCTTTTATCGAAAATCAAAGGCGCGCTACCTTGGACAAGAAGACCAGGGAGAGTGGGCAGAGGGAGTAGGACTGTGGAGGGATGGGGGAGAAGAAAGGAGGGTGGGGATCAGGAAGGGGGAGGAATAGAAGAGGGAATGGGAGGGTAAAGGGGGAGGGGTAGAGGAGGATGGTGGGAGAGAAGGGGAACAGAGGGGGAGAGGGAGGGAAAGGGAAGAGGGAAAGGAATGGAAAAGGGGAGGGGGATTAGGGAAGAGTGATGGGAGAAGGGGGAGGGAAGAGGTGAATGGAAAAGGAGGGGGATGGGAGAGAATAGAGGTAGGAGTAGGGGTGGTCCAAGGAGAAGGGAGGTAGATGAATGGGAAAGGGGAAGAGGAGGGCTGAGAAAGAATAGGGATGAGAGGAGGAGGGGCAGGGAGGAAGGAGGGTGGTGAGTGGAAAAGGGGAGGAGGGGGGATGAAAAATGGAGGAGCAGAGGGGAAGGGGCAGGGAGGAAGGAGGGGGTGAGTGCAAAAGGGGAGGAGGGGGATGAGAAAACGGGTGAGCAGAGGGGAAGGGGCAGGGAGGAGGGAGGGAGGTGAGTGGAAAAGGGCAGGAGGGGGATGAGAAAACATTGGTGAGCAGAGGGGAAGGGGCAGGAAGGAGGGAGGGGTGAGTGCAAAAGGGGAGGAGGGGGGATGAGAAAACAGGGATGAACATAGGGGAAGGGGCAGGGAGGAGGGAGGGGTGAGCGGAAAAGGGGAGGAGGGGGATGAGAAAGATCAGGGATGAGCATAGGGGAAGGGGCAGGGAAGAGGGAGGGAGGTGAGTGGAAAAGGGGAGGAGGGGGATGAGAAAGATCAGGGATGAACAGAGGGGAAGGGGCAGGGAGGAGGGAAGGTAGTGAGTGGGAAAGGGAAGGAGGGGGATGAGAAAGATCAGGGATGAGCATAGGGGAAGGGGCAGGGAGGAGGGAGGGAGGTGAGTGGAAAAGGGGAGGGGGATGAAAAAACAGGGGTGAGCAGAGGGGAAGGGTCAGGGAGGAGGGAGGGTGAGTGCAAAAAGGGAGGAGGGGGATGAGAAAACAGGGATGAGCATAGGGGAAGGGGCAGGGAGGAGGGAGGGAGGTGAGTGGAAAAGCTGAGGAGGGGGATGAGAAAGAACAGGGATGAACAGAGGGGAAGGGGCAGAAAGGAGGGAAGGAGGAAGGTGAGTGGGAAAGAGGAGGAGGGGGTTGAGAAAGAACGGGGATAAAAGGAGGGGGAGGGCCAGGTAGGAGGGAAGGAGGGAGGTGAGTGGGAAAGGGGAGGAGGAGTGGAAGTGAGAAGGAATGGGGAGAAAGGATGAGGGGGTTTGAGAGGGAGGAGGGATTGGGGAGACCTGGAAAGAAGTGGGGAGTGACAGAGGAAGGTAGTGTGTGTGGAGGGGGTGTGAGGAGTACAATGACATCTGATCATGAAAACGTTATGATGAGGAGCGTTATTTTGTCTGTGAATTTAAATTTTAACTTAAAAAAATAGCATGAAAAATGGCAACAAACTGTAAACTTCCCAAACCTATGTCTGAGGGCTAACTATAGTTGATGGAGTCCTGAAATACTTCATCCCTCCAGCTGATCGCCTCTTCAGTCCCCTTTCTAATAAGGCTGATTTTAAAAAGAAAGGCCTTTGGTGAAACAAACAAAAATCCTACCCAGAACTGCCCTGTTAGATACTCAGAAAGTTTACCCTTACCCTCTCTCCCCTCCACTGTCTGAGGCACAGGGACATTTGGTAAACTACATGGGCTTCTTCTATTGAGGCTGGTCTTGAATTCATCCTTCTGCCTCCACTTCCCAAGCGCTGGGATTACAGGTCCGCACTGCCAGAGTCATGTTATCCACTGTTGGGGGTGGAATTAGGATTAGGGCTCTGTGCAGGCTAGACAAGCATCTACCAACTGAGCCACACTCTGGCCCTGACCTCCAGAATGCTTTCCTTGTTTAAAGAATTATTTTTTTTCACAAGTTCATTATACAGATACAATGTATTTTCATAGCCTCCCCTATTATCCTCTCATCCTCTTCCAGAACCCACTTGACATCCTCTTCCCTACAAGTCCTCTTACTGTTTTCCTGTCCCTTTCGTTTGGTTCACTACATTTAATTAAGGTCGCCTGCCTGAGAACGAACGGGTGGGGGATTTTTACTTCAGCCGTGGCAATTTATCAGTCAGTGGCTATCACTGAGGACTATGACTCCTCTTCCATGGTAACCATTAACTGCCTGAAACTCTTGAGGGAGGGCGCTTATGAGCCCCCCCCCCCGTGGATAACTGAAGCAGCAATGGGACCAGCCTTGTGCAGGTCTTATGAAGGTAGCCACAGTGGCTGGCTACAACAGCCACGTTATTCCCAGAAGACAATTTAAACCACTCCTCCTCTGACTCTTGACCGCCTTTCCTTTCTCTCTTCTAGATGTTCTCTGAGCCTTGGGGGAGGGGATACAGATGTCTCATTCAGGGACGAGCAGTCAGTAGTCAGGTTTTTCAGCACTTTCACCCATTAGGAGTCTGCATTAGTCACTTCCTGTTTCAAACTGAAGCTTCCCTGATCAAGGCTGAGAGCAGCACCAATCTATGGGTATAACCACAAACATTCTGAAGGTTTGACATCATGTACATACAACAAAATATCAGTAGTAGCCCCCTTCTTTCCCCGCCGCCGCCAGGCCTATCTTATGGGCTTTTTGCTAAGTTTGTATTAACAGGCATGGATTTCTCCCTAAAATTCAACCAGAAAGCAGTTGGTTAGCCCCATAACTGTCATAAAGGATTCCGTATAGGGCAAGACCCCTGAAGACTTTTTGAACTCCTGATTTTTTTTTTTTTTTGGTTTTTCAAGACAGGGTTTCTCTGTGGCTTTGGAGCCTGTCCTGGAACTAGCTCTTGTAGACCAGGCTGGTCTCGAACTCACAACGATCCGCCTGCCTCTGCCTCCCAAGTGCTGGGATTAAAGGCGTGCGCCACCACTGCCCGGCTGAACTCCTGATTTTTAAAAAAAACACTTATTTATTCTTTGGAAATTTTATACATGTATACAATGTATCTAGAGTCTCTTCAACCTACTGCCTCCTCCCACTGCCACTGGACACCCTAACACATCTGTCCCCCACCTTCACGCCTTTTGTGCCTGTTTTCCTCCCTCCCTCCCTCCCTTTTCTTCCTTCCTTTCTTCCTTTTTTTTCTTTCTTTCTTCCATTGAGTCCAGTTAGTACTACGTGCTAGAATACTGACTGGAAACTCCAGAACACTTTTATCCAGAATGATTATCTTGAACTTCTCTAAGTGTTTGTTTGATCTCTCCACTCAGTTTTATAGTCTTAAGGGCACCTCAAATGTAACTTTAGAAGAATCATCTCCATAAGTTCTAAATTGGAAAGATGTCTTTGAACAAAATTGATGTTGACATAAAAAAAGAAAAACCCAATGGAAGTTTATTGACTTGTTTATTTTACATGTACAAAAGAATCCCCCTCCCTAGGGCGAGTAGTTGGCTAATATGTACCTTTGGCTTTAGCTGGTACAACATCTTCAACAAAGCACAGGAAGTTTTTTAGAGAGGTGCTAAGGAATTCCCAAAGGACAGTTGGACAGTTGGTTACAACTGGGGAGGGAGCTATCATTGGCATCTGGCATCTCTACGGGATAGGAATGCTGCTAAATAGCCTAGCGTGCACAGACAACCCCCAGCAAAGAACCAGCTGATCCTACACCATTAAGAGCACCCAGTGGAAAAAGCCTACTTTAACATATTTGTGTGTGTGTGTGTGTGTGTGTGTGTGTAACCAAAATTACTTTGGTTGATGTCAGGCATCAATTTAGTTGTGATTATAGAGTCGCAGCTGCCAGTGTGTGCACACAGGAGAGACTGGGGATCCATGATGTAAGGTTGAGATGGACATCCAAGGGATATAGTGGGACGACTCTCTTTTTCTGCACCGTGTGATGGGATGCGTGGAGATGACAGTTAGTGCACATCAGAGCAGTATTGAAATAGTGGCCATGTGAGAAAATAGCAATTCTTGTTCCCACCGCGGAGGGCCTATCTTGCCATAGCATAAAAAAAAAAAAGCACACCAGGGACATTTTCCTTTCAACTTTTTGCAAAGTAAATGTCTGTGGCAATAATGAATGAATGAGTGAATGAATAGACAAAGCTAGGACATTTTTTATTGATTACCCCCATGCAGTATTTTCTCATAGCTCTTAAAGCCCTTAGCTTCAGCATCAACTCTCCTCACACTCTGGCTCTGGCTGCATCTCTTCAGACTCTCATCCACACGAGTTACTTTCTCCTCCGGCTGTCTCAGTTACTGTCTACCCAGTTCTGCCTGGATAACTTGTTCCCATCTTATCCTTTTTGTCCTGAGAATGAGCTTTGACATGGAATAATCAGGTGTACTCGCTGCCAGGTGGTGTCCATCCCACTAGGAGGCCGCTATTGTCTCCTCAGCGCCATGCCATTTATTTCATAGGCACTGCTCCTCTGTGCCCGCCAAGTCTACATGGGCTTCTTTTGCCAGCCTAAGGGTTCCCCAGCAGTTGGGAGAGTGAGGCAGAGGGATGGACTTCCCAGTAGGCTAGGCCTGGAGATAGGAAGCCTAAGAGCCAGTTTTTCCAGAGTGCTTTCTGGGTGCTCTGAAAAGAACCCATTTTTAACGGAGTTGCCTTTATTTAAAGATCCAGAAAGTGTCCGTGGACATCAAAATTTGTTCATCTGGGGATAGAGTTCAGTGGCTCAAGTGGCAATGTGCTAGCATGAGGCCCTGGTTTCAATCTCTGGCACCACAAAATAACAGGTCTGTGTGTGTGTGTGTGTGTGTGTGTGTGTGTGTGTGTGTGAGAGAGAGAGAGAGAGAGAGAGAGAGAGAGAGAGAGAGAGAGAGAGAGAGAGAGATCAGGGTTCTCTTTTAGATCAAGCTCCCAAAGCCCCACCTACTTGTGCTTCATTC